ATACCATATTTACTAATTCAAAAATGACAAGTCTTGAAAGAGAAAGCTTGGATGATGCCTCTGCTATTAGTTCAACATGTTCAACAAGTCTTGAAAGAGAAAGTTTAGATGATGCCTCTGCTATTAGTTCAACACGTTCAACTAATAGGCAAAAAAATTGTGGTTCTAACTTTGATGAAATATGGTCATTTTACATAAAAGAACCTGGTAGGGGTAATGGGCATTATAAAGCATCTTGTTATTATTGTTCATCTATTTGGAAACATGGAAAACCACAAGTTATAAAGGCGCATTTGGCCAATTATTGTAAAAATTGCTCTGAAAATATTAATGATTACTGGCACCGAAAGTTAATCGAAGAAGCTGATATGATTCGTAGTCAAACAGTTGATTTGCAGAATGTGAATTGTATTTCTTCAGAAATAAAATGCCAACTTGATTAATCATTATTAAAGGTATAGGTAATGGCTAGAATTCCATTCAACGTGATCAAAAATCCTTTTATAAAGGATTTATTTAAAAAATTAAAATATGATCCACCATCATAATCTACGCTTTCGGGATGGCTTTTGGATGCTGAAGTAGCACAAGTAACCAATTTGGTTAATCAAGAACTTAAACACTGCGATAATTTAACATTAAGTATATACTATATATATATTATATACAGTATATAAATTTAAACATTTATTTTATTAACTAATTATTAATTTTAGTATTAGATGGTTGAACATCCTCACATGCAGATTCTCTTTATAATTACATCGTATCTACGACAGACCGCAAAGAATATCTCCTAAAATTAAAAAACTATTTAGCAGAAATACTCACAGGAGAATTTTTATTTTCAGAAATTTCTAATTTAATTGAGGATGTTGGAAGTGAGAAATTTGCTGCGGTAGTTACAGATGCAGTATCTAATTGTCATTATGCAAGAAAAAAAAATCAAGAAATGTATTTCCATATTTAGAATATACAATGTGTGGCACATGCGATTAATCTAATTACATTCGATCTAGTTAAAGAAAATAATATTAAAGATTTAATTAATAAATGTAATAGAATTGTTAAGTTTTTTAAAGAATCGTATTGAGACAATTCATATTTATAACAGGGTTTGAATGAAATGAAAATTTGACTTAAAGGGCTTCATATGTGGTGTTGAACTTGTTGGGCTTTACTATTTTTTACTACCAACTCTATATTATGTGCTAGGTCCGTATTTGATTGGGTAAATAATTTTTTGTTTTTTTTGTTTTTTGTATAATTTAATATAATTCTTTTTTTTTTACATAGATATTAATGGAGCATCAAGATGTTATTTTCAATACTGAAGTTCTTATACTATTAACTGATGAAGAATTTTTTACAAGCTGCTAGCAAACTAAGCCTCTCTGGACGCTAATTAAAGAGGTTATAGATGTATTAAAAAGTAAATTAGCGAATTTAGCTGATTTTTTTAATTATCTAATTAAACTCGCAATAGTGATCCACCGAATACCTTTAATTAATCTGTTTAGACAATACGCAATCAAGGTTTTTTTTTTTTTTTAATACTTGCGGTTTACTTGAGATATTGTTTTTCAAGGTTTTTAATCAAAGGTTTAGAGAGTTTCACTATCCTATTTATATATTGTCATATTTTATTCATTCCTGTTACCATGGTAAGTATCATATATATTCTTTATTTAAATATACATAAATAACAATTTAAAAAAAAATTTGATTTTAGGGTTCGGGCTTAAGGACGGAGGCTTTAGAGAAGCAGCTCTTATCGCTACCTCTTTTTGGCAGAGTTTTAACCATACTGAACAAGAAAGTCAAGAATTGATTACACAACTTCGGCGTTATAATGCAAGGCTATCTCTGTACAACTTACCTTATACATCTGGAATAGATATGCCAATTTTATGGTAGGAATCAATAAATACCAAATCCAAACACTTGGTTAAATTGGCATGCCAGCTTTTTTCTATTTCTCCATCACAAGTCAGCTGCAAAAGAAATTTTTCCATTCTAAAGTGGATGATTGGTGACAAAAGAATAAGAATAAATATTGACAATTTAAAAAGTATGGCAAAAATTAGGTCTTATTATATGACTAATATTAAATCTGAATTAAACGACTACGGAAAAGAATTTACTAAGGCCGAATTGCAAGAAGCTATTACCATCTCAGCAGTTGCTGAAGTCTTAGTTTCAGAAGAGAATTCATCTAGTCTGGAAGAAGTCTCTGAAAACATTGAAAGTGGTTCATTACTTATTGGAGAAATTGTTGATTTATCTCAGTATGACCTAGAAAATGAAATAATTAATGTAAATAGCATCTATGACAATAGAAATATGGTATATTCACCTGAACAATTGGTGGATAAATTTTTAACCAAAGAATTGGCTTTGGTTGAAAATTATTTAAATTTATTGTAATATAATTTACATTTTAATAAAAATTAAAAAAAGTTCATATTTACTTGTACATATAGTATGTACATATATATATATATAATTTTTTTATTTTTAGAACTTGTAATACGTTCAATATATATATATTTAATATACGACACATATTACTACATATGGCTCATACTACTATATACAGCGCATAATACTATATATGGCACATAATGCTATCTACGACACATAATACAACATACAGTATTACACTACATTTGTAGCAATAATGCAGCAGGTAGTACTATATTACATGCTGTGAGGTATTCTGGGTTGTAATTTTTGGAATGCGTAAGCAATACTAGATTCACGTAAGTAACGTTTAAATTACTTATACAAATAATTTATTTAATTGTGTAACATATCTTGCAAATTTATATGGCATATTTGTCTCCCATTTGGTGTGATTTAAAATTTTGGCTGAATTAAGCTTAATTTAGGCAAAAATTTTAAACTACACCCCGGGCGTTATATCGAAATAATATGTATAAATTCAGACTGTGATAAGTCACTTAGTACGCAAATAAAAAATTCTTCGAAAACAGGTTAGACAATACTCTGAAGTCTTTCACAATGCAAATAAATTGCTTATTATTCAAATACTGTCCCACATATTAATTTACTTAGCTAAAATGTTAGTTAAGCCATAACAAAATGTTATCCACATAGTTTGAAAAACTATTTTTAATAAATATTAATTCTCTTGAATATAATAAATTTACTGACCTTGGTTTCAAGAGTTGACAAGGTTTTTAAATGCGAGTGAATTAACAGTTACTTAAATCTCAATATTGATTTAAGTTTAAATAAAAAATTGTCGTAACTGATGCTAATATTGGCCAATGAAAATATTTGGAGTCTGAATTTGAATCTATTAAATCCACCAAAATCTACATATAGATGGGTAACGAAATTATTTTCGCAATAACGCAACTGATGAAATTATAATAAAATCACTAACAAAATTTGACAAAATACAATTTTTGTCAATTTCGTCACCCTTCACTGCTACATATTGTTATGGGCAAAACGTGACCTCGAGTCCGTGACTAATTAATGCAAAACGATGCACGTTAGACACACGAATAGTTATGCAAACGCCATTATACTGTAATGCCCCAGGACCCGAAATTCCATCATGACGATCATATGCAAGAAACCTGCTTAAGCCAAGACCTCTATAATAAAGCATTAAAAACGATGATCGTATGAAAGCCAAGCCTCCATCAACGCTCTTATTGAAGAAAAAGACACTTACCCGATTCGGTATGACAGCTGTCAAGGTAATATTACCTTGTCGGATAAGGTGTGTGGCCGTGAAAGAAAAAATGCACATGGGTCAGTAAAAGTGTCAATGAATGAATGAAGGAATCATGAGTAAAGAAAGATGACGGTGTAAAAGCCTTCAGTTGACTTACCTGCTATTTGCCTTCTTTTTCTGATTCCATTGAAGCTTCAATAAGAATGGCTATGTGTAAGGAGTAAGGAATTTGATTAGAACAGGTTGTTAGGCTAAAGCTTAATGATGGTATAATGGAAAAAGAAGATGGAAATTAAATTAGAATCTTTGACTTTGTTCTTCTCCTGAGTTGTAAAATCGTTATAAATAAGAGATCGAAATCCCTCTGGTAAAAACATTAGGCAATACCAGACCTTGACCGTGTACAAATTCCCCTACATAATAAATAAATAAAAAACTCTTTGTGTCAAATAAATCATAACGCTCTTTAAAGCATCCTCAAATCATCCCGGTGGAATAATACTCAACTATCACCTTAGACCCAGCCAAGTCGATCCCGCCTCTATCTGTTGAGTAGAGCCTTGTTACTGCTTTGTTGTGTGTATGGGTTTGTCCATTTGGCCCATGACAATTTGGTGGTGACTGTGAGATAGAACGTCCCTGACCTGACTGTGAGATCGAGCACTTGTTGAAGACCCCAAACAGCTGGACTGTAAGATTCGACGATTTGATCGTGAGAAATAAACTAAGCTATTATGACGACTATCCCCGATGTTTTTTTTTTTGAGTTTTCTGTTTGAATTGTTTGAGTATTAGATTTTTGAGAAGGACCAACGTACCACGTCTGTGCCAAATTAGTAGTGTAGTTTCCTGTGGATCGACGAACTATGCCCACTTGTGTTTATGTACCGTAATGATTTTAGCGATAGTTTTTTTTTTACGAAGAATTGAATTTTTTTTTTGAGAAGTCTTATTTAGGACCAACGTACTGAGTCCACCTAAACCATTGTTGCAAAAACCTACCGTTGTATTATAATTTCCTCCTCACAAGATAGTCATTGGATATAAGACCATTGTTTGAAATCTAAAATTAATTAGTACAACACCAAGAGAAGACCAAATAAAAAATAAAAAAAAAAAAAAATGGAATCGGAATTAAAAAAAATGTCCGACGAGTTTGAACGATTAAACGAAGTAACTGAAAAGTTCATCGAAGCACTTACCGCCCGTATTCAAAGATCTTCAAGGCCCCGATCAATGTATAAAAGTCACCGACCTGCCTCCGCCCGTTGTGCATACGAAGATAAGTACTGGACCTACGATAAAGCCCCTGCAAGAACTCCTGCTCACTATAACCCATCGAAACAAAAAGAGACCCTACCTGTGAACTCCCATTAGAAAAAAGGTGTTCCCAATACCTATGATATACAAGAAGAAAGAGGTAAAGAAGAGGTAGTTTACATACCTTACCTAACAATGACGCCCCAAGGTCTTGTCTTTAATTACCCGTAGATGGAAGCTGAATGAAATAGAGAAAAAAATGAAGGAACCAAAGGATATAAAAACATAAATACGAAAGAAAAAATGAGACTAAAAAACAAACCTAAAGGTAACCTTGGTTATTGTCGTCAAAATAGAATCGATGTCGAAAAAGACACACCGGCCAATGGAATTGGGGTTGAACTGGATGAACCTAAGATATTTGATTACCTTCAAGAATCTGCTAGTGCGGATCAACCCGATGGAGGAAATAACGTTGGACCCTGCTATCAAAATGGAATTGGTATCAAAAAGAATGAACACGACGCATTTGTTTATTACCAAAAGTCCACAGATATGGGTGATGTTAATGGAACACGCATAGTTGAATCCGGCTATGAGAAAGAAATAGAAAAGATTGAAGTAGATGCCGTTAGTAAGTCGGAACCAAATGAATGGAACCAGAAGAAGGAAGAAGAAATACGAACCTCACCCATAAAGCTTGAAGACATCAACGATGATGAAACTGACAACAAAAGTGATCGCGAAATGTTGGTTGGTGATGACAGTAGTGATGAGAAGGTGAACAGTTTTCTATCCGAAAGGTCTCTGGAAAAAGAAGTCCTGCAACGTGTATGTGAAAAATGGATGAATAAAGTTAGTGATTTCTGGATGATCACGTGTACAAAAGAAAGACCCACCAATGTAGAGTCAACTAAAAACAGACGAGAAGTGCTAGGAAGTTGTGTAGGTACCCCTAAGGATAAAAAACCGGTGTTTGAATGGGACTCAAAATCCGCTGAAGGTCTTGACAAAGCCTATGAATCCTGGAATGAAAAGGTTAGTGAGCTTAGGAGAATTAAAGGCAACCGGAAAAAAAGTCCGTACCTAACCAATTCTGGAGAACCTGCCCTACTTGCTGATATGGAACTTTCTCTTGGACCTTGTTATCAAAATGGAAGTGGTCTTGAAGAAGATAAGGTGTACATTCGGCATCAAAAATCTGCTGAAGATGCCATTATGAATGGGCAATTCGATCCTGGCGGTTGTTATAAAGATGGAAACGATTTTAGGAAGAATGGCAAAATCTGAAGTAAAGGTATTGACAACTTCAAGTGGATGATCAGTAAGCACAAAAAGGAAAGACCAAAGAAAGAAGATTATGAAACGTTAAAAGACGACGAAAGAAAGATAACAAACCTAGATACGGTCTCACAAAAATTAACAACACGTAACCTTTGCACCCTTATCTTTGACCCCAGAGGAACCTGTGAAATGGGTTTAACTTTAACCCAACTTACATAAAAAAAAAATAAAATAAAATAAAATAAAAATTTTTTATCTTGGATCATAAGTGGTCGCACACGACAGTTGTACGTGGGGTTAAGGGGTGTATGACAAGGGTTTGACCCTTCGTTTTGGACGTGGACGTGTTTTTTGTATTTGAGTTTTTTTTTTTGTGATTTTTTTTTTAGTTTAAGTTTTTAGTTTTTTTTGTTTTAGTTTAAGTTTTTAGTTTTTAGTTTTTGCCTTATTTTAGTAATAGTGTATAGAAAAAAAAAAAAAAAAAAAAACTTTTAGTACCTTCCTGCGCCATTAAGAAAGAAACGTAACCTGATACCCCTTGAAGACCTGAAGATTTACGAAATGAATTTTCACGTGGGACATGAAAATTGAGTCAGGGAGAATTGTCATGGGCAAAATGTGACCTCGAGCTTGTGACTAATTAATGCAAAATGATGCACGTTGGACACACAAATCGTTATGCAAATGCCGTTGTACTGTAATGCCTCAGGACCCGAAATTCTACCATGACGATCATATGCAAGAAACCTGCTTAAGCCAAGACCTCTATAATGAAGCATTAAAAATGATGATCGTATGGAAGCTAAGCCTCATCAATGCTTTCATTGAAGAAAAAGACACTTACCCGATTCGGTATGACAGCTGTCAAGGTAATATTACCTTGTCAGGTAAGGTGTGTGGCCGTGAAAGAAAAAATGCACATGGGTCAGTAAAAGTATTAATGAATGAATAAAGGAATCACGAGTAAAGAAAGATGATGACGTAAAAGCCTTCAGTTGACTTACCTGCTATTTGCCTTCTTTTTCTGATTCCATCGAAACTTCAATGAGAATGGCTGTGTGTAAGGAGTAAGAAATTTGATTAGAACAGGTTGTTAGGCTAAAGCTTAATGATGGTATAATGGAAAAAGAAGATGTGAATTAAATTAGAATCTTCGACTTTGTTCTTCTCCTGAGTTGTAAAATCGTTATAAATAAGAGATCGAAATCCCTCTGGTAAAAATGTTAGGCAATACCAGACCTTGACCATGTACAAATTCCCCTACATAATAAATAAATAAAAAACTCTTTGTGTCAAATAAATCATAATGCTCTTTAAAGCATCCTCAAATCACTTCGGTAGAATAATACTCAACTATCGCTTTAGACCCAGCCAAGTTGATCTTGCCTCTATCTGTTAAGTAGAGCCTTGTTACCACTTTGTTGTGTGTGTAGGTTTGTCCATTTGGCCCACGACAATCTACTTAAAGATTGGACCCAGGTAGAAATTGTTACTATATGATTACCTGAAATACATAATAGTTTACCCAGATAACCTGGGTAATTCAATAATACCTGGGCAGTAATTTTTTCAACAGTTTCAATCTCTATATATACTCTTTCATTAACAACTCTATTCATGAATTTTTAATATAGCCTTACTAAAAAATGCATCACAAAACTTCATACCAAAATAAGGTCAATTCTTAGCATCATCTTTGCCAATATGATATTCATAAAATTAGTCATTATGTATATCAATATCCATCAGTGAAGCAACGGGTTACACCTAGTATTATTAAAAAATTAGATTGTTTCAAAAATTCAGACATTGCATATTCATGTAATATTCGTGTAGTAATGGGTAAAGTTTTCATGAAAAATATATCCTGTGCCGAAATTTATTCTAATTTTGCAAAAACTTAAGTTGATTTCTATTAGCAAAGACTCCATATAGGCGGTATTTCAGCTGCTTCCATATTATCCAATAACTAAATCGACAAGTTATCATACAGAATCAATAAGTTATTACAGCTGTTCTCATAACTTTTTAGAACATCTGGTAAAAAATTGACCAAATGATTATTTGGCCGATTTGATAAGTTATTAATTTCGACATAATCAGTATAATGTTTATTATTTACATATACAGTCTAATAGCTAAAGCCAGTTACATACGTACGTATCTACGTATATACGCTTTAAATTGATTATTAATTGATTTGCAAATTAAAACTCACATGAAATATATTATTTACAGTGCAGCAGTGACAATTTTAATTGATAATAACCAGATAACCAGATAACCAATATCGATATAACATGTTAAATATAATATTTTTTTGAAGCACATTTGCCGAAAAATAGTCGAAAAAATTTAGAAGAGTTGTTAGTTCAGACAATTGCTAAATACTTAGATATTAATAGATCTCCAATTTCAAAGATATGGATGTGTTAAAAGATTTCTGCCACTCATAAGAAAACCACATCCACTAAACTTGAATGATATAAATTGTCTTAAGGCTTTAATGGAAGGAAGAAATCCTAACTGGTATTTTTATAAATTACAATCAGAAATAGAACTTTAATTAGAATGTAAAAATAGAAGTCGCTTAAAGCCTTGTAGTATTCTATATTTTCATGTGTTTTGATTAGCGTTAGAATCAATTTAAAATGTATATACATTACAGTACTTACCTATCTACGTAAATAATAAATATTATACTGATCATACCAAAATCAATAACTTATCAAATCGGCCAAATAATCATTTGGTCAATTTTTTATCAGATGTTTTAAAATTTATAAAAACAGCTATAATATCAAAAACTTAACATTTTGTTCATTTTTAAGCGTCTCAGAATTTATAGTAATGCAGATCCTATAAAAAATGGTGTACAGGATTTATAATCAAACATGGGTACATAAGATCATGAGAGTATACAGAACTATATGGAATATAACATGGAATCGTGCATAGGAAAACATGCTTGAGACATATAAAAAAATATAACAGTATATATAATAGCATGCTTTTTACATACTTTTCCGTGAAATTTCTAGTATGAGCCATTTGTTATTTAGTGCATATATCATGCACATAAAACAATTTTATGCAATTACATATTCATCGACTTTGCTTACATGCAAATTCTGTGCAACTTATTTGAATTCAATGCTTTAGACATGCTATATTTTGTGCTGACATGTGTACTCATGTGTAAAAATTTCTTATAAGGGGTCTTTGCAATATTCATATAACAAGTTTGTAACATTTATTTCATACTATATAGCCTGTCATATGATGACAGGCTCTAACACTTAAATATAAAATTATTAAAGGAGGCTGGTATTTGTATCTTCAAATTTTGTATTCATACCCCACAGATATCTCAATAACAACCTGAATAAATTCGATTAAAAATTTTATATTTAAATTCTAGAGATCTGTAGAATTCAAATAAAAAAAGAAACATCGAACTTGATCAGGTGGTTATTGAGACAGCATCGTTCAAAGTTTAAGAAAAAAACAAAATTTTCTAATTTTTTGAGCAAAGATATCTTGATAACCACTTGACTAAATTCGATGAAAACTTTTTCTTTGAATTCTACAGATCTTTAGAATTCAAATAAAAAAGTTTTCATTAAATTTAGTCAGGTGATTATTGAGATATCTTTGCTTAAAGTTTTAAAAAACTTTTAGCACAGCTTTGTTTTAATAAATGTTTTGATTTTTTCTAAAACTTTAAACAAAAGTATCTCAACAACTACCTCCAAATTTGATAAAATTTTTTATTTGAATTTTACAGATCTGTAGAATTAAAATAAAAAAATATTGAATTTAATCAGATGGTTGTTGAGATATTTTTATTCAAAGTTTTAAAAATTTTAATTTTTGTTAAAGTTGCTAGTAAAACTAAATTATGTTAGTAAAACTAGTGATTATCTAAAATTTAATTGGCTATTAAGTGCAATAGCCAATCAGATTTTAGGTAGTTATTAATTTTACTAGCACAATTTAGTTTTATCAGCAACTCTAATTGTATAGAAGATATAAATATCAAATTTAGAATATAAATACTAGCCATCTTAATAAATTAGTATTTTTTTAATCTAAAATAAAATAAAATTTTTTTAAAAAAGATATTTTATAAAGGGAAATTCTATTTTCATCTGGGTTAAAGTCACCCGATATATAATTTTTATTATACTTTATAATATAAATTATATGCGCAGATTTATGGAATTGGGCCTTTTTTAGAACCCCGAATTTTTTAAAATCAATAATAATCAGCTGATTTTTTTTGTTTTGAACCCCAAAAATTTTAAATAGTTAAAATTCTACAAAACAAAAATTTATATATACAACTATATCAAACCAATCATCTGTCCCTAAAACCAATTCTTCTTTTTAGGAATTTACTTGAGTAAGAATTAAATATTATAGTTTTTAAATATTATAAAACGAATTTATTAAATTTTTTTATTTTTAATTATTAGGTATATAATCGCTATTAATATGAGTCACCACTTTTATATTTCTTCTGAACCAATAGTTCTTATACCGCATGTTACTTTACAACAAGGTTTCAAGTGTGAAATCTGTGGAACGATCTATAAAACAAAAAGAGGTCTTATGTGTCACCAAAAGATTGTTCAAAAGTATAATGTTCGCCGTAAGGGGTTATATACATTACCCTCACAAGCAATCAATCAATTTAAAGCAGATCTCGTTCATGTTATAGGAAGCAAACTCAAAGAGCATTATAGATGGTCAGGCAAACAAGCTA